TGTAAACACGGGGAAATAATATGTATTGGCTTCGGATACCATTTGGATTAGCTCTGCTTTAGACCCCGTGTGATAAGGTCCCATGTGTTGTGAAGTCAGTATTCCTCAGCTGAGCTTGGGAGTTAGTTAAGAGGGCAGCAGGAGTGAGCTTGCATGCAGCGGGAAGGGATGACAGGAACAGGTTTAGGTGAAAATAGTGTATTATCCATTTCATGTTAAAAACACATCCTGTATTTTGAGAGTATTAAAAATAGCACTTTAATTTTAAGTTGCTTATCATTAATACTTTGTACCACTTTTGGATTAATTGTAAAATTTATTGCAATTACAGCCTGCATTTTTTGTGTATACAGAAAAAGGACTAAACTTCCCCTTGGAACTGAAATGGTGTGGTTCCTCACCTTCTAGAAATCAAAATAATGAGTGTTTCTTTTAAAGAAATCCTTAACACCAGAGAGAGCTGTTAATATCTTGTTCTGTTGTGGTTGACCTTGCAAGAAATTCTAATGGCTTTTCAGACCTCAGAGGCTACTCGGATTCATTATTCATGTGGAGGATTTGGAGTCTGTCCTTGTAAAAGCACAGAGATAGTTTTCTATCTTTTCGTCTGTCTTAACAAATAAATACTCCAGTCCAATAGATACTTAATTATATACTAAAGTAGTATTCTTCTAATGCACCCCCATAGGGAAACTCTTAATATGTATTTTTCTAGCCCATCTGAGTTTTAAATTTTCCCCCAAAGTTATTTGCTGGAACTATACAGAAAAAAAGTTTATTGAAGCTTACTGCTTGCAGTAGCATTGTGAAGATACTGGTTAGTAGTATTGGAGATGTGGTACATGAGATACATGGCTTGCCTGAAAAGTGCTGGAATAAATTAAATACTTGCTGAGAAGTTTGACTAGAACCAAAATATCTTCATAGCAATGGCAAATATTAGAGTTTCACTGTGGGGTGCATTAAAAGGAGATTGCTTTCTACTGGAGTATCTTTTCGTTAAGATAGACAAAAATATCTGATTTACAAGGTTTGTTCTGCCCAAGTGTATGGTCCAGGATAGTGTGTGTGTGTGTGTGTGGGGGGGAATTGTACTGTTGTAAATTTCTTTACACAGATGCTAATTGTCCAGAAAGCCCAGTGAAAGGAATTTTTAATCCTTCTGGGAGTTAGTTCAAAACAGTTGGTCAGCTATTTCATTAAGCCCAACTAATAAGACAGTTTAGCAGGATTCTAGCCAATAATATATAAATGCTAATTACGCTTTTGCAGAAAACCCTTATGTGCTATGTGTTGTTTCTGGACTTCTCCTGTATAGCTAGCCTTATAGCAGGGGTAGGCAACCTAAGGCCCGGGGGGCCGGATGCGGCCCCCCGAGGCCTTTGGACCAGCCCCAGGCCAGTCCTGCCGCCGCCGCCGCCTCCCCCCACCATGATGATATTGATTATTGTTGTTATTACTTGTTCTTGGGGTTTTCTTGGCAAAATCTCCACAGGGGGTTTGCCATGGCTTTTCTGGGGCTGAGAGAGTGTGCATGCATATTTTTTAATTTTATTATTATTGTTATTATTTATTTATTTATTTTTGGTGCTTCGGCCCCCCAATTGTCTGAGGGACAACAACCTGGCCCTCGGCTCAAAAAGGTTGCCTACCCCTGCCTTATAGGGTTTCAGGGTGCCTGTTGCACACTGACCAAAGTTCAGAAGACTTCCTCTCCCCCCCTTTGAAAAGTGTTGACATTTAATTGACCTTTGAAGGCTTGTTCTGTTAATCATACTCAAAAGCACTAAAGCTATATAGTTGACCGATCTGGTGTTCTTCCATTTAGTCGTGTTCAGCATATAAATTCTCCAGCATAATTGCTACTTATTGAGCAAGAGTTTCTTTTCTTTTCCAAAAATGGGAGGGACTTTCTTTGCCTTTGCCTTGGGCAGAGCACTTGTAAGAGTTCTGATTCAAAATGCTTTCCTATCATTAGTTGGAGGGTGTGGTTTCTAGTCAGGAAAGCAATGGAAATTCTTGTCTGCTTAAATTGCTTTTTTTTTTTTTGGTCATGCTTCCTTGAGCAGTTTGCAGGAGTTAGATGGATAACCTTGAAAGTTCTCTGCCTCATGTAAGCTGAAGCACATGTTCTTTAAAAAAAAAAAAATCATGACCTGTAGTCTTTAAAGTTTATTTTCCTAGCATACTTATTGCTGCAGGTTTCCTGGCACACTTAATGCTGCAGAAAACATCCTGTATCAAAGGCCGTTGGAAAATGTATTTACACTAAATTCTACATCCAATGTATTTAGTGTAATTAATTTATAGTAAATTCAGAAACTGTTATAAAAACGAAAGGGCTAAAATACTGGAGGTAAAACGCTTGCACTACTAGGGCTGTGTCTAGTACATGACCAGCCAAAAACATGCAAACGTAAATCTTTCTCTCGTGTGTGTGTGTCGGAAAGGGCAGCTATTGAACCAGTTCACTTAGGGCCTTTGCAGACTGCCAGAAATAGTGTACTTTAAATTGAGGCACTACCCTGGCTCAGTGCTATGGAATCATGGGAACTGTAATTTATTGTGGCACCAGAGCTCTCTGACAGAGAAGGCTCAATGTCTCAGAAAAAAAATACAATTCCCATGATTCCCTAGCACTGAGCCAGGGCAGTGCCTCAATTTAAAGTGCACTATTTCTAGCAGTCTGTAAAGGCCCATAGATTAGGAGTACTTGTTCTTTAGTATATAGTGGGCCCTTGGTATCTGCTGGGGTTTGGTTCTAGGACCCCCATGGATACAAAAATCTGTGGATGCTCAAGTCTCATTAAATACAGTGGTGAGGTAAAATGGTGTCCCTTTTATAAAATGGCAAAATCAATGTTTGTTTATATATAATATTTTCAAAACACTGGATGGTTGAATTTGTGGATAAGGAAATCTGTGGATATGAAGGGCCGATTGTATTTGGAACCTGCATTTTTCTCCTTGCAGGACAACCTATTTGCTACATGTGTCAATTCTGCATACCTTTTATTTTTAATGAAATCTTTTATATATAAAACCCTTGATCAGCCAGTGGGTAGATAATGCTTGTAATGTTAATTTGCCATTTCAGCAGAAAAGTTCAGTTTCTAAAGAATTATGTTCCAAAGGCCTGTACCACAAATACAAAGGGTGGAGAAAGACTTGGAGACAGTTTTCAGACTCACGTTTTGCTTGCATGACTGGGATGCTACATGGTCTGTGGGCTAATGTTTTAATCATTTAGGTATATACAGATATGTACAGACTTAAGAGGCGTATGCACCAATGATATAGATGTCTTTAAGATAGCTTACAAACTAATCTTACAGTGTAATGATTTGACATTCAGATACAATGGAAGTTGTTGTTGTGTGCCTTCAACTTATGGCAACCCTATGGTAAGTCTATCACAGGGTTTTCCTGGCACGTTTCTTCAGAGGGTTCTGCCATTGCCATCTTCTGAGGCTGAGAGAGTATTACTTACCCAAGGTCACCCAATGGATTTCCATAGCCAAGTGGGTAATTGACTTTCAGAGTCATAGTCCAATACTCAAACCACTACACCAGGCTGGCCCTCAGGCTGCATCTGCAATCAGGAGGTTAGAGATTTAGTTCTCAGCTGTGAGACCCTCTATCTGTGGAACTCTCACAATTTGCAATTCATGCCTCTTTTTAGTACTGGGATTGCCACTTAACTTGCTCCCAACACAGTTGTTTAGGTGAAGGGTACGTAGTGACTTCTGAGACACTGCAGTGCTTCGTGTGCAGCCCTGCCAATTCTGAAGTCGCACAACGAAACTTTTGCCACATTTTGTTTGGGAGCCACTCCCTGAGGTCTAGCATGTAGGCCAAGGATGGAGAACATGTGGTTAGGGAATGAAGAAGGGTTTAGCTGGATTTGACATTTTCAATGAAAATTTTTCCATGCCTCTCTATCAACTTATTACAGTGAGAAGCACACCTCAGCTCAAGAATTTATCCATTCTTGAAGCATTTGTGTACAAAAAAAGCAGATTTTAAAATCTGAACAGTTAAAATGCATGCAGCTGAAAAATATGCATAAATACGCAATTGAGGGAAATGCCTCAGTTAAGTGGGATGCATAAATAAATATGCATGTTAGAAAAATGTAGTTTATAAATGCACTGATTTCCATGTAGAAACCTCCCACCTTAACCTTTGAACTTAGTATGAAGCAATGAAAATGCATGTAGGATTCCGGGAAATGCAGTAACATTGAGAGATTTTTGTTTTTCTACTTGAGATCTTCTAGATCAGGGGTAGGCAACCTGTCCCCTTTAAGGGCCGAGGGACTTCAGCTCCCAGAATCCCAGGAGCTATTGGCCAACATGGGACTATTGGCCAACATGGCTGAGGCTTCTGGGAGCTGAAGTCCCTCGGCCCTTAAAGGGGAAAGGTTGCCTACCCCTGTTCTAGATCATCTGAAGGACCACATGCTCTCTATACTTTTTAACAAAAACTTTGGTACCAGAGGTAGAAATAGCATGGAAAGAACAGGCATAGGTTCCTACACCAAAAGACGAAGAGCAGTTCAACGTGCTTCAGCAAACTTTTTGTTCAGAACTAATATGACAAAAATGTGACATGAAACAATCAGGTCAGATAAGCCTTGCATAAGTAAACAAAAACATTTTCAATCTTTTAGAGACTACTAGAAAGCTTTTTTCAAAATGCGTTTTTTCTCCTTTCAATAGCCTTCACTTATGATTTCCATTCTGGTGGCCAAGCTTCTTGTGGTTGTTGTGTGCCTTCAAGTCATTTCTGACTTATGGCAATCCAAAGGCAATCTGATTGCTCTGCAGAGGGGCGGGGTATAAATAAATTTTATTATTATTATTATTATTATTATTATTATTATTATTATTATTCCTATCATGGGGTTTTCTTGGCAAATTTCTTCAGAGGGGATTTGCCTTTGCCTTCCCCGAGACTGAGAGAGTGTGACTTGCCCATAGTCACCCACTGGGTTTATATGGCTGAGCTGGGATTCAGACCCTGGTCTCCAGAGTCATAGTCCAGTGTTCAAGCCACTGCACCATCCTGGCTTTTGGTCAAGCTTATAGATCTAGGCTTTTTGAACATGCCAGGGTTGCTGGTGAAGCTGGCTTTGCTTTCTCCTTTTCTTCTCTTTTGCTCTTCAGACATGTTCAGTAACTGGTTCTGGAGGCAACCGTTTACCTTGCCTGTTGTATGTAAGCACACACACAACTACAGTAGGATCAATGAGAGAAGAATCCCATTCTCTCTCAGGTCAAGTTTTATTGTATTGCTTACTGCAGCTATGTTGCTGCAACCCAACTTTGAAAGTATCTTTCTTCAGCGTTCCTTCACCATTAACCCAATGCCAATGCTTAAAAAACACACACAAATAAACCCTTCAAGCTAGAAATAAGGCAAGAAAAGTGTGGGTTGGGTTGGGTTGGACTCCTGTAAAAAGACTTTGTAAAAAAAGGGAGCTTTTTTGTCAAAGGCTTTGTTAACTGAGGTATGCCTGTATGTAAGATTGCACCGTGAACCACGCAGTAAAAGCAGATTGAAGCATGTAATCTGCCTTGGCAATTGAGTCTTAGCATGAAAATTGTTTCCCAATCTGCTAGATTCTCACCATGGTCTCAATTCTAATAGTTCATGCATGGAGTATTCTTCAGACAATGTCATATTCTTTCAAACCTATTCAGTTCCAGTAGTGTTTAATAATAGTTGGCACCCGTGTGGAGGAGTTTAGACTAGTAATTTTTCCTTGCAACTTTGAACATATCAATGTGGAGCTATTCCTGCAGTGAAGTTTTGAATGTTAGCATACCAGGTACCACCAGAGTGGAGGTCAGTAATTGGAAATTGGCCACAGGCACTCATAATTAATGTGCATATTGTAAATTGAACAGAGTGATATGGAAGTAAGACCATAATAGATTAAAGGAACTTGTATAATAGATTAAAGGAACTCTGAATTAATTTCTGGTTTCTTCTGCTGGTAATTTTAAGAGGATGGTTATCATTAAATGCAGGGTAAGTCTGTAAATGCATTGTAAATCTGTAAAATGCAAGGTAAGAAGAAAAGTCCATCGATTGTTCATGATGTTTTTACAAATAAGCTTTCAAAAAAGTTTCATGTACATGACTACCTTAACGTAAGTCTGTTCCCTTATTGTTTATGTATGTAGATTTGTTTAATGTTTACCTTATTTTCCTGCGTATAAGACTACTTTTTAACCTGCAAAATCTGTGGTTAAAGTGGGGGGGGTCGTCTTATACACCGGGTATAAGGATAAGGAGGATAGAGGTGCTGAAACTCTATATTTTGACTGGAAAATGGGGGGTCGTCTTATACGCTGGGTCATCTTATACGCCGGAAAATACGGTATATAGATTGCAGTGTTCATTGATTCTATACAAATGAAATTTGATTTGGTTTGAAATCTCATCCATTCATTTATTGTCTGTAGGAAACATCTAGAAAACATAGGCTTAATTGGATGAGCTGTGAACTTAAACTGCTTCAAGTTTTCTATCTATGAAGCACCTTACGCCCCTTAAACCCCCATAGTACATGGGCATGCCCAAAGTGTTTACTTTGTTTTTATTTGTTTTTGTTTTGTTTTTGTTTTTATTATGTTTTTAAGAATCATTTTAATTTTGCTATTATAGTTTAATTTAGTTTTAAGGGGTGGGAGGATTAGGGTGTGGGATATAGCAATTTTACATTGTCTCTTGTTTTTAAGTTATGCTGTACGCCGCCCCGATTGCTGAGCAGAGGGGCAGCTTAGAAATAAAACTTATTATTATTGTTGTTGTTATTATTATTGCAGAATTAAAGCAGTTTGACCCATTTTAACTGCCATGACTATAGCCTATAGAATCCTGGGAATTGTAGTTTGGTGAGGCACCAGAACTCTGACAGACCAGGCTGAATACCTCACCAAACTACAAATCCCGGGATTCTGAAGAATTAGTAATGGCAGTTAAAATGCTGTCAAACTGCTTTCTTTCTGCAGTGTGGAAGAGCTGAAAGTCTGCATTGTATGCGGCTAGTTTTCCCTTTCCTTCCAGCCATAAGCTAACAAAGCTGTGTCATGTAAATGCTTTGTCATTTTGTAGTTTCAATCTACATGTGAATTAGTTTATGCCAGGTTTTTTGTTGTTGTGTACCTACAAGTAGTTTCCAACATGGCGAACCTAAGGCAAACAACAAACTTATCTTGGGGTTTTCATGGCAAGATTGGTTCAGAGGAAGTTTGCCATTTTCTTCCCCTGAGGCTGAGAGAGCGCGACTTGCCCAAGGTTCCCCAGTGGGTTCCACAGCTGAGCTGGTCTGCAAAATCAAAGTACAATACTCAAACCACTGCCATGCTGGTTTTCTTTATGCCACATAGTATGATTAAAAATATCAGATTACCTAAGGAAATTTTGCATGGTAGTAGTAGTTAGACCTCTCCAGTAGAGCACTTGTGGGAAGATAATCTTCATCTAGGTCAGTGTACAAAGTATTCTTGTAGTACCTTTGAGACTAACTGAAAGAAAGAAGCTGGTAGCATGAGCTTTCGTAGACTGAAGTTACTTCCTAAAATGTATTTGATTCCCCAGACTAACATGGCTATGTCTTTGAATTCTTCATTTAGATCAGTTGGTCAGGAGCTATGAGACTGGCTTTCCCAAGAAGGTGTGTGCCGTTTAGCTGGGAGATGTGTTTTCTGTGGCTCCATCATAATCTTATTAAGTGTATGTCTTGATAAATGGGATGTACCAGTGTCACTCCTACCCATGCCAAGGATTGTAAGAGGCTGGAACTGGCTTCTTGTGTTGACAGAACATATAATTGAGATTAAATACAGTATGGCAGAAATACGCTTACACAGTCCTGTAGCTAATGGATTTAATGTATCATAGGGTACCAGATTCCATCTGAATTTGGATGCTCAGTAGGGTCAGCCCATGGGAGATCACCAACAAATCCTAGGTGCTGTAGACTATATTTCAGAGGAAGGAGCTAGCAAAAGCACCTTTGAGTATTCCTTGCCTAAGAAAACACTATGAAATTCATGGGATCACCATAATTGACAGGTAACATGGAGGCACATACACATAAACAAAACAAAAAAGGTGGGGGGTTAGACCTCACATTGTCAGATACATTGTGTGTGTTTGGACATCTGGCAAAAGGAAGTTTGTGGTATGTCAGAAGTGCTGATCCTTTTTTTTCTTGCCTTTTTAAAAATATTCTTGGTCTAGGGCAGGGGTAGGCAACCTAAGGCCCGGGGGCCGGATGTGGCCCCCTGAGGCCTTTGGACCGGCCCAGGCCAGTCCTGCCGCTGCCATCGCCGCCTGCCATGATGATATTGATTATTGTTGTTATTACTTGTTCTTGGGGTTTTCTTGGCAAAATCTCCACAGGGGGCTTGCCATTGCTTTTCTGGGCCCGAGAGAGTGTGCATGCATATATATTTTTTATTTTTTTAAAAAATATATATATTTTATTTATTTATTTATTTATTTATTTATTTATTTATTTATTTTTGGTGCTTTGGCCCCCCCAATTGTCTGAGGGACAGCAACCCGGCCCCCGGCTCAAAAAGGTTGCCTACCCCTGGTCTAGGGCAATGATACCTAGACTTTGGTCTTCCAGGTATTTTGGACTTCAGCTTCCAGAAGCCTCAGCTTCTTAGCCAGTGGTCTGGGATTCTGGGAACCAAAGTCCAAAATACCTGGAAGGCCACAGTTTGGGAATCACTGCTTTAGGCTATGGGAAAGGGATGAGTATTGCCAACTCAACTCTTTAGTTTTGCTTCTTATGTTTTTGGAGAGGGTAATATGCACATGCTAAATCCCAACCTGTACATGTCTATACAAAAGGAAATTCCTTTTAGTGCTGCAGGTCATACTCCCTGGAAAGTATAGACTTTCAGGTTAATACACTACCGTTTTCAAGGTGCAGAGAAAATGGGCAGAGAATTGTTTTCTCCTTCAGTACTAGAACCTGAACATACCCAGTGGAACTATTGGGCAGTAGGTTTAGGACTTTTTTCCAGTATGGAGGAAGGCTGTAAAAGCAATACTAGGTGTACTGACTCCAATAGCCATTTCAATCTAGTAAGGAGATAGAGGTATGGAGCACAGTGAACCAGAATATATCCAAGTGCTTGTAAATGCAGAAAAGAGAACTGTGAAATTAGGAATGTGGAAAGGCTTCCTGGGCTGCAAATGCACAAAGTTATATAGGAGGGAATCAACATACTAATATGTTAAAATTAATTATATATCTATAGCCATGATTAGTATGTCCAAAAATGGTTTATTTTGGATATCATTAAGTTGTCTCTAACATCTAAAGTCTCTGAAAGAGAGGGATAGCCTGTCAACTAGAAATTCATTAGTGATGTTTTTGAGATGACCAGGTGGTATGAAGAAGGGATAGCAAGAAAAGCTGGAGATATTTCCCATTAGAAAATTAGTGCATGCTTATATTTATAGATCTGATAAGAAATGTCAACATTTTATGGGCATTGAAATAAAATGTGTTTACGCAAGTTGTTCTTAGGCCTTGTATTCTTAGAACATGTAGTACATTAATTTGGCCTTGTCTTGCTTTATGTTTTTGGTAGCTGTCAAATGAACAACAACCCTTGTCTCAGAGTGGCCCTAACCAAAGAAATACTATTTTCCTCCTCCCAATGGGGAAATTCTGTTCTCCTTCAGTGTGGCAACTGGTTGTAGGGGGATTTTAGTACACTGAGTTGCAACTAGTTTAGGGCTGATAAAGAAAGCATATTTTGCAGAAAACCCTGTGTAGTTTATCACACATCTGATGAAGATATAATTATAAATTTATGTTGGAGAACCAGGATAGTCTTCCATGTTAGTTTCCCATTGACCATGAGTGCTGGTGCTAATATTCAGGAATGATGGGAGTCATAGCGCAACAAGATCTGAAGGGTGGCAGGTTACCCACCCTTGCTCTAGATCATGAAACTAGGGCCCAACACACACTGCAGAAATTATCCAGTTTGAGACTGCTTTAACTGCCCTGACTCAGTGCTAGGGAATTCTG